AGCTTTGAGAAACATGAAAGTTTTTGTTTGGAAATTCAAGTCTGCGTCTCTTCATTTTCCTTCGCCTTGCTTGGCAAAATGCCAGCGCTGTACGCTCAAGTCTTCAACGATGAGGAGGCGCTGCTCCACATAAAGCTTCCTCTGTTCCGAGTTGAAGACTATATCCGATTGTCTGACATTGATAGTACAATTATATGCAAATGGGAGTTCTATAGGAAGTTTTCGGAAAGTTAAAAGGAGAGCTTAATTTTTTTCCGATTTTGTGGTTTTTGGAAAAATTTCAACTTTGATTCAAACTCCAGGACAAACTTGCTGCGAAAGCAGGAATGCCAACTTGTAGAGCTTGCTTTGCTCTATCGAACAATTCCCGTCATGCTTTTTGGGATTAACCTGGTTCGCCATTTGGCGTGGAAGCTGATTTTGCTATGAAAAAGCTAACAATAAGTTTTAAAAAATGCATGAGCTAATCTTTGATCCTGAGAACAAATGAACATGATACTCGTGTTCAGCATGTCAAACTACCTTAACGTGCAAAGTTTCGCCGGATATCGACGGTTCCGACTCTTTGGCACTGATGGATTTCCAAAGGGACTTTGACGCATTCAACTCGTTCGAGTTCGCGAAGTCTCTAGATTTCGATTTGACTTCAGCTTACAATTCTTTTTTCAGTGAGCTCAATAGGCCGGCCGATGGTCAATTTATTTCCTTATTTCGATTCATGGCACGCAAAGACTGGGCGCCGTTGCGTCTTACCAAGGTAGTTTGTGCGTAAGAGACGGCAGATGGCAAGAGGAACGAAGAGCGCTTGATCAGGGAGACGCCGATATGTGCAGTCTTTGCGTGCTATGAATCGCCGATACGTATCGTTTTTGCTACAAAACCGTGAAACCTCGATTCTGACCGCTTTGGAAAACTGCGTACATTTTCTCCACTTTGTCATTTAAAATCAAACAATTTGTGCAGGTTTATAGCCCACTTTCAAATTACTTAATTTCAAAATATGAATGTGCCTCATGCAAAGGGAAGGGAGTCATGGACAATGTTGCAAAACTTATGCGAAAATCTAATACTATGATCATCTTACTGAAGGCAGAATTCCTGTATCAACAACCAAATCTGTGAAGGTTGAGGCTACAGGCGAGACCTGGGTCCCGGCACGCATAGAGGGGGCGCGCGACTCCCGCGCAGCCAGTTATAGTAGACGTCACCCGTCTAGTCACCTCGTGCGATGCGTGTTACTGCACACAAATTTGAAATCCTGGATAAGGCGCTGGAGTCCCGCCGTACTATGCTTAACAAGTGCACAGTACGGCTAAAATTTAACGCCCTTTTCATATTTTCATGCTCTATTCTGTTCTTAGCTTCACACACGGCCTAGTTTTCAGTTAGTTGTCGTATTTATATGCCACGCATGCCGTTTCCGATCGAATATCTCAAATTTATCACTTTTAATTTCAGGAGGAGGCAGAAGATGGGCAAACTTGCAAGATTCTGAAGTAAGTCTGCTTTCGTCAGTATTGTAGTATGTAGAAGGAGCAGAGTATTTCTTGAGCAGTATTAGTTTCAACTTCCTTCTCAGTGTTATCAAAAACCGTGGTGTTCTATGCCGTTTATTTTGAGAAGCTTTTTTAGATCGAAGAAATTTGAAAGTCGTGCTGCCTAACAGATACTACTCTTTCTTCTTAATAGCAGACTACTTGAAATCTTGCAAGTTTGCCGATCTTTTGCCTCATCCTGAAAGTAAAAGTGATAAATTTTGAGATAATCGATCTGAAACGGCATGCATGGCGTATGAAGGCGACATATAATTGAGAACTAGACCATGCGTAAAGCTAAGAGCAGAGAAACATCAAAACATGGAAAATAAGCAGTATGGCGTCAAATTTTAGCCGTACTGTGCACTTGGTGTAAGCACGGTACGGCGGGACCCCAGCGCCTCATCCAGGATTTCAAATTTGTGTGCAGTAACACACATCGCACCGAGGTGACTGGACGGATGATTTCTACTATACAGTCTTTTTCAACCCGGAGTAGGCGAAACATTTCAAGTGGAGCAGCGCGTCCGCACCGCCGCTGGCCCAGCGAGATAGATCAGAATGAAGAGACGCAGACTGCAAAGCGGCGAGAACCGTTGCGAAGCGAACTCCTGCCAGTCCAATTTCCGCCTAAACTGAGTTGTACCTTACTATAAGTAGATTTAGATGGCGCCCAAAATCAAATACGGTCCGCACGCGACTGCTGCTGTAGCCCGTCACGTGCGCACGATTTATGGACGGCTTGCAGCATGCATGGCTGACTAGTTGGGAACATGCAACATCATGTTGACCATAAGGCTAACTGTCAACATGTTGTTGCATAATTGACCTTTGTAACCTCACCTACTGCTTATCAAAGACGCAGAGCAGGGGTAGCAGGGGTAGGACCTGGGAATAGCGCCTGAAATGGCGAAATTCTGCACGCACATATTGCCGGTATTTCTATTTCAGGAGCGGACGTCTGTTTGATTCATCTCATATCGTCCCCGCTACAAATGCTGCTAAAGTTGATTGCAGGAAATCGCCCATATCGCTGGCTGAACGCACGCCTGAAACGCGGCTGTTGAATACGGGCGCTATTACGACCAGGGTTGAGCGTGAAGTCAGGCGCGCCCGACCTGGGGGAAGGGGTCGTATTGGTGGTAAGACTGAGGGGGGGGGGAGGTCGTAATCAAGAATTGAATTCGCTCAAAACTAAGGAATCACTAGATCAAGTAAGGTGAAGAAGAAAAGCTTTAGACCGATCTGTCACAACCAGGGCCCGGCACGCGTTGGTTTGAAGCGTTTCTGGAAACGAAATCCCCCATGACTTCGCGAAAATTTACGAAGTCCCTCTTGACGTAAAAATCAGTAGGAAAACTATTAATTAGTCAAAATAACATTAAAAAAGCGAAAAAAGCGCATTTTGAGGTAACTAATACAACAAAAAAAGCAAAAAGAAAACATTTTGAGTTGATTAAAGGCTCTGTCATTGGGCAGTGTACCATTTTAGCGCTCAGAATGTCGAGAACCTCCTAGGCCAACCAAATCTGTGGCCTCAACAATCTGGCAGTGCATTTTTCGCCACATAGTTCAAAGGACACCGCATGTGATTGGAGCGCAATATCTATCAAGGCGTATAGATTTGCACTACTTTTGGCTCAAAAGAAGAGGAGAGGCAATAGTTTGATTCGCTCTCTTCACTATATAATAGATTTTTGAGCGTTTTAATCGTCCAAATCAAAAAGGTCCAAAACTTATGTGAACTCTTCGAAATTTATGCTCCGAACCAACCCAGTTGGTTCGGTGGTTGGTCTAGAAACCAACAAATCCGGAACGGGCATTCAGACACATAAGTTTTGGGAACTTTTAACATAACATAGTTTGGAGTAATATTGTATACTCATAGCCCAAATTCGGAGCTATGTGATTGTTTGTGCGCTGTAAACAAGCCATTTGTTTGTTTGAGTCTTGTATTTGAAACTCGCGCGCTTGCGAAAGAACACGTTCAACTCGTGAAACCTGACATGTTCGTCGTGTTTTTTGGCGCTTCCTCCAGGACCTCATAAAAACGATGTCCCCGTTGCTTCTAACTCCAAAAACGAAGTCCAGTTTGACCCCAAACCATCGGTGCCGGGCCCTGGTCACAACTCCAATAGAACAGGAATGACTGTTGTGACCAGCATATTGATTGGCTTCATCGCAGTTTCAGCCAAATTTCAATTTTCCGTCCCTTACCTGACACTACTGAGATCACCAAAGAAGCTTGCTGTGTATATTGAGTTTAGCACTATTCTTCACTATTGACGGCCAGTGGTGACTGAACTCACTTTTTCCGTAGATAGGGCGATTCACATCAAGATCCGCCGTCAAATTGCGTGTATCTATAATGTGCAATCACAGAAAAGCGATCATACAGTCTCCTGAGATTCAAAAACTCTGCAGGACAGACTTTTCTCGAGTGTCACACTCTGAGGTCCCGGAGGTGAAGAGGAGTAAGAGGGGGTCGTTTGGGGGCTTTCTTGGAAGGGGAGGGGGTCGTTTCCGAACGACTAGTGCCTGAACTTTTGCTCAACTCTGATTACGACTCATGTGCGCGAAACAGACACGCTCGGGACGTTCAACTTGGGCGATTCCGTGCAGTCATCTAACACCCAATATTGCGTCTCTGACCTGCGGGGAGGGCAAGCGTTAGGCGACAAAACGTGCAAAACGCAAGCAACGTAAATCCCGTAACTTAAAACTATGCACCATTTTTTCATTGGCGTCGGGTAATGTATCGGCCCCGACCCCCACCCCCCTGTTTTTGGCGGAGGAGACGTTTTGCACGGGGAGTTCCTTGGGGTCCAAAAATTGGGTTTGTCGCCTAACGCCCTACACCCGGCCTGCGGCAGTATGGCTTATATTTGGCAACATGCAGCAACATATTTGCAACATGCAACAACACCCTGGCAAAATGTACTGGCTTCTAGTCCCATTGTCAACATGTTGTTGGGTACTGTCAACAGGCTAGCCATACGTGCCGCAGGTCAGAGGCGTAGAGCAGAAGTACAGTCTGTGTCAATCACGTGCTCCACTTTCCGTGAGCACAATCGCCACGCCAGAGCTTCGCGCCACGTTTGTGCGCGTACGGCTAACATATTCAAAATGCCTCATCAGTTGGAGGTCCGCACGCAAGCTCCTTACGTTGCGCATGTGTGTTTCTCAGGCGATAGGAAGTACTCGTTTGACGCAGAATATAGCAGCATTGTGGATTTGATTTGATTCGACTCTCAATTGTGATCTTTCTGGATTTCCAAGCGCTCAGATCACACATGATCGATACTGTAGTGGTGTCAATTGCACTGCACTCCGGTGTGTTCCGTAGCGCTTTCATATGCGTCACTTTAAGAATTCTTATATTCTTATAACTCAGTGGAATTATTTAAATCTCGAATATCCGATAGCCCTCAGCATAAGCTCGCTAGAGCTCAAATTCACGCTTGCAGCTCAGTCGCCCTCTACATAATGCCAGTTCTCGCCACATCATTGAACTCCTCGCTTGGTCCTGCCGTCTGTCGTGTATGCTTATGTGGAGAAACATCAATTCCTTATCTCGGGAAATCTCCTGGAGAGCCTTTGATCTCTCCATGCCACTGCAAGTAAGTGCTTTAAAACAATCTGGTCCAGCATTCCCTTTTCCGTTTCATTTTTGTGCTCGAAAACAACCAAGTTGCAGTCGTTTTGAGAATTGTTCACACGTTCTTTTATGATTTGGAACTTAAAATTTGAATAAATTTTTGCTACTCACATGCAATTTAGTAGCAGTTTTATTCTCACTCAAGCATATTTCTAGGGGAACAATGGGATTGTATCACCGCAGCTGTTTGGAACACTGGTTATCCATATCGCGAACTTATTGGTGTGAAATCTGCAAATTTCGATACGAAGTTGGAAGGTACGTTGAGCCTTTAGGTGGAGAGCTGTTTTTTTTCTCACATAGAAGCTACGATTTCGCTCTGTTTTCGAGCATTATTTCAGTTGATCTCGAAGTTTCGATGAGGGCACTCCACTTGATCCAACTTGAACCAAAGTCCAAAAGCCTTGATTTTGACAGAGCTAAAAGTCTTGCTTTTCTACAGTACGAATCTAATCTGACCTATGACGAAACGTTTTCACTATAGTTCATCAGTCCAGAAATTATAAGTAGTGGTAAAGTAAAGGAGCGTTGCGTTCCGTAATTAGCCAATGATAATTAATGACCTACAGGCAGCCATCTGTAGCGACTGGTTCCATGTCATCCTAAAGGTTTTGCGGCCGTTAAAAAGTCGGTTGAGCAGGTTGCCATAGGTTCATGAACTTTGGGAAGCTACCGCAACTAACACATAAAGTACTCACTATAGCCTTTTTGGAGGAAGGTGGGGAAGGGGCGGGGAAAAATTTTGGTCAAAATTACTTGCCTTATGGGAGTGACATGATCTCAAATTTTCAAGAACTTTGGGGTACTGAAAAGATATAGGACATGGTGGTAGGTGGTGTCTAGTAAAAGCCTTGTCGTCCAAGGATCAGTCTTGTTGAGCGTACCAATTTGTCTTTTGAGCAGATTTGTACAAGTTTGTTATTTTGATCGCCTAGGGACCCGTCATACTTCGCCGAGGAAAGCCTAAAAAAGCCCGAAAGAGCCGAAACGCCCCCTCCGTTTTGCCGCTAAGGAATGTGTGTTGTTTCACAGTCGAGTCTTTTCGCTTCATTTCCTGTCGTCTGCACATCAAAAAAATGTCAAAATTCTACCAAAAGTTCGTTTCTGCGTTTCGGCACTTTCGGGCTTTTTTGGGCTTTTTCGGTCTTTTTGGGGCTTTTTGGGCTTTTCTCAGCGAAGTATGATGTGTCCTCTAACTCGCTGTTGGTGGAGTGAAAATCACTCAACCTCTAAACTCAAAACTTTTTCAATTTTGGCTTGGCAAAATGCACCAAGCTTTGTTTCAGGCGCAAGCAAGGTTTCCTATCATATATTCGTAATAACTGGCATTGCTATGGTGCAAGTAGTGAAGGTCATAGTATAGCGGGAGACTGTGCTTGTCTCTTGATTCTGTTGCCGCTCACAATTGGAGGATCCATTCTCTGCCTACAGAGTGCTGCTGAGAAACTTCAATATGTGAATGAAAAGGGCGATTTTGAACGAGTACACGGTGAGTTGTTGTCTTCGAGCGTAATCACAGTCAATTTTACGTTGGTTGTCAATCACATGACCTTGTCTCAAAAAAGTTCCTGCCTTTTCTGCGTGCGTAGGTTCCAAATTGTTTCTGCCTTTACAAGACTTCGTAACATTGTGTCTCATTATATGCACTTGCGGTCATCCAAGAAAACTTTGGTCAGCCGCGCTGTTTTGTACAGTGAAATCTTTCAAGACAGCTGCGTTTGCGGTGGCTGGGAACGATTCTAGTATTGTAGATCAATTACATCGTAATATATGAGTGATGTGTATGTTATTATTTGCTTCCTGCTTTTCCAGAAATAGTTGCGCTGGGGTTAATGGCTTTGTTTCTCATAGTCATTTTCGGCTTTTGGGTGGTGTTTATGGTGATGTTCTACTCGAAGGATTTCTATATGTGGCAGAAGAAAAATATGGTGAGATTCTTCTTATGTACAATTTTTCACGCATTTTTGATTCAGTCGCAACTCAAGTACCATGAATTGTAAAAAGTGGACCCATTTTTCCAGATACTATATGTGATTGATCAGTTGGACAGAGAGGAAGAGACGAGTAGTCGACTACACAACCGCTTAAGCGAGTCACTTCGTCCTTTGCTAATCAAGAAAAAGCTGAAAAAGTTTTTTGTATGCAGAGCAATTATTCCACTCGTCGCACGTATTATAACATAGTCTCCACTTTCATTGCAGTGCTGTGGTTGGAGTGTTCCAATCAAGGAAGACACTGTGATTCCGCTCCGAGATGCTATACTTGATTTGAATCCGCAACTGGTGGAGGCAACCGGAGTTTCATTCCGTTCACCTCGACTACCAATTGTAACTCCTGCTGCGGTAGGTTGAATCTTTTTAGTCGTGAAAAAGTGTAAAATAAAATAATAACAATTCCATGAGATTCTCTTGCTGGAAGTATTGATGTGCTATAGTTTTAGGAGAGCTCAAAACGCTTGGTTATTCCTTTCTAATAGGTGAGATCTTGAAGATTAGTTGAGAATGAACTGTAGTAATCATCGAAGCGAACTATTGTTGAATCATGAAGACGAAAAGACAGCCCCACTAACTTTGACATTGAGATGGCCAAAAATCTGGGTCGGTAGTAAACCTATCGAAACTCACAGTTATAACTCAGAGTTAACTCTGAGTTATCTCTGAGCTAACGCGCAACTTTTCGACCCCCTTAACAGGTGTTTGAACAGATCAAATCCGGAAAGTGATGATATGGCAGGATTCTCCTTAACACGTAGTTTATTCCTAGTAGCGCAACATTGTCCAAATCGTCCTGCACAAGAAACAGCGCCACCAAACGCGCAACTAGTGTCTACGATAACTCTGAGTTTGGTGCGAGTTTCAGTCTATCGTGGAACTCAGAGATAACTCTAAGTTTGGTCAGAGAAAGAGAAATAGTGCGCAAAAGAAGAGGGGCAGATAAAAAGTCCTCCGGGGTACATTTTGCTCGTAGTTCAAGCAGGCATGATGTGGGTATCGTGGTGCGCAGTGAATTACAAAATTTTGAAATTTTGTAAAAACTTGGCCCAGGGGGTTATTTGGTGCGCTGGTCACGCATATGGTACCCATTTTTCACTATGGGGTCATGTAGAGGTGTTACGGTAGGTTTACGGTAGATGGGAGAAAGTCACGAAACTGACCGAACTTGGTACACTGGGGTTATTCGGGGCGCCGATAACGAATATGACATGTAGATTATACTGTAGTGTCATCTGACGGGGTTACGGTAGGTTTACGGTAGATGACTTAAAGCGGCGGAATTAGATGAAAATTTGGTACACTGGAGTTATTCGGGATGCAGATTACGGACAATCTATCTGCTAACATTGGTGACATATGGAACGGTTACGGTAGGTATACGGTAAGTAAGACGGAATCATGGAAGGGCAAACTTTGAGCGGAGGATTTATTCTGTGCGCAAATCCTAATAGTCAATTCTTATCATTGCGTATGCCATCCGCTTTCTCTATTGTTTGAAGCTTTCAGCTGCGCAAAAGACCAATCCTCGTGATGAACCATCACTGCCCGATAGAAATGGAAATGAGTGAGGCTTTGGTATAACTTGTTTTGACCTGCTAAGTGTTAATGGAATGAGTGAGTACATTATGGCAAAGCAATTTTAGGGTTCATGGGTGTGTCATGGTCTAGCGGTTTAGTGATAGGATCTTTACGCTAGACCATACAGGTTCGAGTTCCTACTTCAACGTCGCTTTTGCAGCAAAGTGCTTAACAGCTTCTCAAGCAAACTTCGAGCTTGAGAGTTGGAATTCGGAATTACGAAAGCGGAACTCAGAGTTTCAATAAGCGTAACTCAGAGTTTCAAAAACGGAACTCAGAGTTGTCTCTGAGTTAACGCAGAGCTTTAAACTCGGAGTTTCGACCAGATTACTACCGACCCTGATGCTGTGGTACCTTTTATCATTCTCCTCGAAAGGCCGATTCACTTTAGGTTAAGTGACAGCTAGACTTGGTAGGAACCGTATAACAGTTATGCAGAAGATAATTCTGAATCTAATTATAAAAATATGGATGACAATTTCATGCGATACTTTGCTGAAAGCACATCTGAATAAATCAGTGTATTCAAGGGCCCTATACTCGTTTCTCCGATCTCATGCGCTTCTAATGTTACATCACTAGCTGCTGGACCCAATCTGTCTACAGCGATATTAGTCAGTACACCAACAGCTTCATTTAATATAGGTGAAGACACTTTCGAAGGTAAGATTGACATTGTGTTCCTGATTTTTCCAGCAGATATTGGATGGTTACGTGCCGACTTGTGTTAGCTTTATACTAAACCCAAAATGTCAGCATTTCTATGTCAAAGAGCCATTCCATTCATCTCTTGATCTCCACAGAAAACGGATAACTTAGTTTCTCTCTATCGGTAGAAATAAGCCAAGAAAACTACAGTGTGGCCTACGAACCTTTGAACCAATGTTTTCTGATGTACAAGATTTGAAGTATCATATTTGAGACTTGATTTGTACTTTCTCATAATCTGAATTTATACGACTGAGTCAATTTAATGTCATTCATGCGCCACATTCTCGGAACGTTGTATTTTTGATGTTTTCTCAAACCTGTTTTCGGCAGAAACTGCCACTAAATTCCGCGTTAAATTCGTCTTACGCCTATCTTTGCTGTTTCAGTGCCAACAATGTCCACATTTCGGCCACATTACACTAGTGCTAGCGCCCAAATGCTTGTGTCTACTCCTCTTAGGACTTCACCACTATCAGTGTTCGATGCAGTGGAGGAAAAGCGATTAGGTTTGTAATTACTTTTGAAAACGTGGGAGTGTACCTAAAACTGCATTAGGTAATTCTATCCTTCAGTAAATCACCTTTGCAAATTTGTTCATTGCTTCAGTATTCGATATATTTGGTAGACACATGAAATTTGAAAAATTTCCTGATAAAATCGGTAGATTAATAACGCTGGGCAGGATTTATGACTTGGCAGTATCGTAGCCGATTGCGCCAGACGTGACAGTTGCGATTGCGAGTACACGGCTGTGAAAAGACAATTTTGATTTCGCTTCCCTTTTGTTTCTTTGCTGCATGGCAACGATTACATGAACACACCATGCATCCGAATATGACCATTTGCGTTCAAATTCTTTTCAATTTCTGAACGTTTGTGTTTTGTAAAACATAGTTAATCCATTCTTGTGATGTCACTCAGTAAAACTTATGTGATATACACGGTAGACTTTACTGTCTTAGCGCTAAGATTAGAAAGAAATTTTTGACGTTGACGTAGCCAACAAACATAATAGTCGAACTTCAGATATCGCGACTCCTTGCGACACTTCAACAGAGTCAGATACAGCAACTGACTCTGGGACTGATGTCCCAGAGTCCCCGATTGCTACTCCAAATGAAGTAGGTTTGACATTCGATCAAATTTTTCTTATTTTTTAGCACCTTTTCACCAAAATTTGAGCTATATCCATCTGCTTGAAAAAAAAGCATTTTTTAAATCTTTGTTTGTATGGGTGATAGGGAGATAAGTGTGTAGGAGATTCAGGTTATGGGCTAAGGAGCCGGGTATGAACAGTCATACGCAGTGTGAAAGCTGATTTTGATTTCTGTTTTTTTTAATCTCACCACTCTCTCAACTTACATGAAAGACCGGTCTTACAGGGGAAGGATACTTGGATGCCGTAGCCATTCATAATGATTTGTATACCAAAAAATGCGCTTTTGAATCTGGTTCGTAGACTGTCTTTCATATCTGCGAAACGATAATCTGAATGGAGTTATGATTTTTTTCATTAAAAAAATTGCGTTCCTGCGGAGGGTCAAAATCATCAATAAAAAATTTTCTCTCCTTTCCAAATGCTGAGTATGATCCAGGTAGTCTAAATAAATATTACTACGTCTAAAATTTTCTTCAGTAGCATCAAACGGTAGGCTAGATCAAATCTGGTGATTTTTACTATCCAAAAGTAGGCTAAATTTTTAAGGAAAAAAGTTCATAACTTTCTTCAAAAGACCGTTTCGCAGATTTCGAGCACAGATTCAGAATCTGCATTCGAAGGCGCATTTTTTGGTATACAAATCATTAGGAATGGCCGCGGCATCCAACTATCCTTCCATTGTTAGAAAGTTGTCGGATACTTGTACGAAAACTATGTGTATATCACTGGCGGTCCTAGAAATTTCTTGGGGCGGGTGCGACAAAATTTTTTGCTTCTCCCCCCCCCCCTCCCCTAAAAAACATTCTTGCAGGGTAGTTCCATTTTTCAAAAATTTGAAAAAATTATTCAATGTGAACACAAACAGCTGCGCTTTCTTATAAGCTATAGATGTAGGCTTATTCCGAGCGAACCATTCCCGGGGAGAGGCGCGCGCTCAGTTCTCTAAATTCAAAAAAAATTTTTTTATCAATTTAGCCTGCTGTGTCTAGACCGATATCTTTGCTGCTGCAGACCTAACTCATAGGCTCTAGAAAGAAAAAGCGTTGATGCCACGTAACGACCGAGTACTTCAGGCGGTTGCCACCACTCGAACCAGTCCTAGAGTCGAAACGCTATTATGAGTTTTCCACCTCATCCTCTGGAATGACTGTTTACTGCAGACCTCACATCATTACTTTCGGTTTGATACCTGCCCCTGTCGTGTAATGTAACACAAATCTGTGATTATAAAAATTTTCTGTTTACTTTTTGGAAATCTGGATAACAGTGGCGTACCGAGGGGGGGGGGCGGGGGGGGCGCGCGCCCCCCCCCCCGAGAATGGGTCGTGAAATTTTTGAAAGTTACTTATAAGGGCTATAAAAATATGCAAATGACTTGTTTATACTTGTAAATCATTAAAATATTTTTTAAAATTTTTTAAAAATTCAAATTAGCTTTATAAAAAAAATTTTTTCGGGGGCGTGGCTGACGCCACGCCCCCTTTTTCTGGATTTTCGGAGTTATGAGGCCTCGAAAATTTTTGAAACCATCCCCAAAAATTTTTCGGAGTGCGTGGCTGACGCCACGCACCTTCATTAGAAAAAAATTTTTGTCGCGCCCCCCCCCCGAGCCGAAATCCTGGGTACGCCACTGCTGGATAACGGTTTGTCTTGAGAGCTTTCTACATCTTGTGCAACAGTGCTCGATGTGATAGGAATTTTTCTAAAAATAGACTATTTGTTTTCCTTTGCATCATCGCAATGGTCTCCCGAGTGCTCAATGTGTCATCTACGCATCATTCTTCTATGCGATAGCTGTATAGCTTTTATTTTCTTGTTTGACGTGATCTCCCTGTGATTATTTGATTATTGTTTGCATAAAGTTATGTTCCTGTTGACTTTGCGGATGAAACAACAACCATCTATTGGTTTACATCTACCTTATTGCGGGCTTTGTACATGACTCAGTTTCAGCAATGCCCGTAAAATATAACGTGCAGCTGGGCAACCTGCTGCAGAAATCCGGTTACAAAGAGGTAGGAAATGTTTGATTTGATATTTTTCTGTCCATTTTGTTTTCATTGTTATGATGGATAATATGTTGATCGCAGTGGATCAGAATTCAGGCAGTATATTCCCTTTTAATTTATCTACAACAATTTTTCTGTTTGGTGTAAAAGGGAAATGGACTATTGTAAATTTTTCAGACTTAGCAAACAACTGATTTTTTTCATTTTTAGAGTTGACTTGGACGGCCTTTTCACTTTTGGATTTGTTCAGGGTTAGGCATTAGTCATAAGATATGATCTGTTACTCATAGAGGGAGAATCTTCACAACTTTCGTGAACTATGCCTCATGTTCAGCATACCTGGAAGGTTGTTGCTTTCCCTTATATGCATGCAGCACATGAAAGCTAAAGTTTGAATTTTTCAAAATTTTCTGGAGTTATTTTTGGCAAATTTTCAACTGGCATTGTTAAAGAATAGAGTCTCAAACCGCCTTCACATCAGTACGTCAGGAAATTTCAACAACTCAAAAATGGAAGAGAATTTTCAAAGGAAAAGGAAAAAGTTGAGGGGAAGTGCGATCACAGAATTGCCTTTGTGTTGGATGCAACTTGAACTTTGTGGTAAAAATGATGCCAATGTTTAATCCTTTATCCACTGTCAAAGTTATATCAATTTTTGCAGAAGTTTCCAGAGTTTCAATTAAATGAAAAAAGTGTAGCAGAATTTATGTTACGACCCGATACTACAAATATCTGTGCATGTAGATAGGGTGTATTTTTGTTTTCATAGGACAAGTACTTTGTTTGTTTCATAGTATATTTATTCTTTCTTTTGCTAATTGCACTTTGTTTTATTTTCTTCCAGCAGGAACCTTGCATACCGGAGGCGTCTACACTCGTCAAGTCAGCTTCCACTCTAACAGCACAGTCTATTTCACAAGGTGACGATCCGCGACTGCAAGAGCGACGATGTCCTCTTTGTGGAGATATAATACTTATTACAAAAGATCGTTTCAAACCATGTGATTGCGAAACTGTGTAAGTTTAATGAGAAATGTAATTTTACCAACTATTTTTCACTCATTTTAATGAAAAGTTATTCTTCAGAAAAAATTCAATTTTTTCGTAGTGATGGGGTAGAGGACATTAGGTCGCCAGTAGGCTTCACCGACACCGACAGCGATCACTAGGCTGTGTTGGAGAGAAGTGCGCGTTTGTTGCAAGTGTCTGCGCGGCCTCTCCTTTCGGCGACTTAATGTCCTCTACCCATAATTGTGGCTGCCAAGCCCTTTCTAAAAATTTTGAAAATTTCCGCGAAAGTATTGGGAAGCATTCCAAATTTTTTTGAAGGGTAGCTAACACCGTGCCGTTCGAAAAAATTTTTGCCCTTCACCTCGAAAAAATTCTCGGGCTGCCTCGAGTACTAAACGAATTGAATCCAATAAATATTTTTTTGAAGTGAAGTTCACATTCGCTGTGCTCTAAAAGATGAGAAGTCGTCACCTCGCAAATGTGATCAGTGCGGGAAGATTTGGCAACATCCGGTAACTCCATGTTTGCCCTATTTTGTATTTAATGCTAACTTTATTAGCTACGAAAACCGCGCGAGATGTCGGCCGTAAAGCTATGTGATGAACTTACTCAAGTATGTTTTATTTGTGGAAGCTCATTAACGAAATTTCAATCTGGCTTTCGGTTAGACAACAAAATGATACGTCCATGCTTTTGCGAGTAAGTTGATTTTGCAATATACATCTACATTCTTTTTGTTTTTGTCATGAAAAATTTTCAGCGTCGTTTGTCATCACGGATGCATGGTGGAGCGTTTACAGACAACCAAAGTGTGCGAAGTATGTGGTGCTTCTTACCAGTACGTTGAGGTTAGTGATAGTTTTTGTTTTAGTCAGCCTATATCTGAAGAAATGGACAGTTCTAGTATGGATCTTTGCGAGACTATTTTGAAAGATATTGGTGGCAGTATTTCGCCTCACTTGTGGTTCTCATTCTTCTGTTCTCATTATCACTCATAGCGATCACGAGCAGTATGAGAGAAGTGCATCAGTTTTCTCTGGGACGTTTGTGTTGGTTCTTCGATGCTTTGCTCATCTAAACTTCATCAGATACCATGTTACAAGTTTTCAGTTTCCCTGATCATCGGCATAGTCTTGTTCGGACTTTGCGTAATATTCTTGTGGATGTGCATCAAATACACTGTAATGCGCAGATTACCACGTTTTCATGCGCGATATGCACAGACAACGGTTTTTGATTACGAGCCTCCCTCGAGGCGCCCAAGTCAGGTAATCTTGGTACCAATTTTGGAGAGAATTTTTCAGTAATAAATAAAAATACCAAAGTTGTTGCAGAGAATTTACTATCGTGTTGCATTATCTATTCATTTATTTTATTTATTTATGCATTAAACTGCACAAATATTATCCTTCGGTTGTCTCTTGTATCTCCGCAATTATGTTTGTCATGACAGGCAGATAGCTGCAATGCATTATACAGGGGACACCCATAGCTGTAATGCATTATACAGGAGACACCCATCTGAAAGGCAGTTGGAGTATTTCTCGGTCCTAATCTAGCGAAAAATCTCGGTACAAGCATTTACAGAAAGTGCATTGGAACATAAGCATTGTTTAACTTTTAGTAATGGTTTGACATTTTGACATCTCATGCAAAATCTAAGCGAAATTTCAAGAAAAAGCTGTTAGAGCCATTTTCAGACCTCCTCCACCCCCAGGGCCCAGCATAAGGGGGCAAAGGGACTGGGTGAAAGAATTCGCCTTTGCCACCATCGATTTTTACGAATTCCCACTTGATCCTGCCAGCTGTGTAGATTTTTCGATTTGGAGCGCGCTTTCTTCCTCAGTAGGACCGGTGTTGTTGCTTATTCTGGATCCTAACAAGGATGGAGGAGTTTGGGACCAAAATAGTACTTATACCAAACTTTAGGAGTAGAACAGTTTCATGTAAAATTTCGAGAAACGTTTGCCCACTTTAGGTGGGCATTAGGTTAGTAATTGCCCACCTGATTTGGAAAAAAGTTGAGCACGCTTTTTATCCACATAAGTTTCTCTTAATTTTTCATACTTTGTTCCTTAGCACTACTGCGCGTATACACACCAAATTTCGTGCCACATCGTCACTGTACGTTGCAAACGACCCAGTATCGTTTTGTGGTATATATACGTTTTCAGAAAATAGCTTGCCACAACCTTCAGTCACAAAAATTTTTCATAATACTGCGTACTATGCCCCTCCCAGTCCAGTCCGTTTATGTTTCAAATTTTTAGTCATATCGTTATGTGTGCGCTGTAATCGAGATATGTAATTATCATCGGCTTCCAGATTCGTGTGGAGGTGGAGTCTTTCCAACTCATAGGTGGCGGTTTTTGCTAGCAAGAGAGTACGAAAAGCAATGCTTTAACGTGAAGGATTAACAAGTTTATCCTTGTTATCGGGCAAAGTCTGCAATACACCTCCACACGAATCTGGGAACCGATCATACAACTCAATGAAAAAATTTGGATTTTTGAAGATGACTAGCGAGAAAGAACGTGTTTTTGCATGTTAGTCGTGTAGCAACTTGTCGAGAGAGTGTATATACATGTAAAAGTATTACGATAATCTCTTTGCACTCCATCCAAAACGATTCCAGCTTGACATTTGCCCACCTCGTGCCTGGCCCTGGTCTCGCTTCTTTTTTGAAAAAAGAAATAAACCGTGGATTATGAGCACGCGAAAATCTGGAAAGGATCCCAGAGCTTTTTTCACAGGGCGTGGGTGACGGCAGACGGCAGATGTCTTCATTCGAAGAACATCTGTGATATGCATGATTTTCTTCACATAGGACTAACGTACAGAAAATGTTGGATTTTTGGTACCTCCCAGTGCTCGTGCTTGGAAATGCGCGGTCTAAACAAAAGAAGTGCGCTGTGATGAAATCCATATTAGCATTTTATCGCGGTAGTTAAGGAGCCCATACCACCGGTGCAGACCTTCCACAAATGGAGTATTTTATGACCATAATTGCCATATCCCATATGAAATTGCTATTCTATTCAGATTCGTGCTAATTTTCCTCAAGAAATGCAGCGCATGGTTTTCGGACCTGATGGATATACTTCAGCTGATCAGGCTCTTCTTAGAGTTGACTCTTCTGCTTTCAAGCATATGTCAAGTACACCTATAGGAAGCTCACACGTCTTACCTATGTTTGATCTAGAAAGAGGTAGAGTAGAATGATCTTGTGCTCCCATAAAACTACTCGATATTTGCTCAATTATATTACGGTTGTTAAGCTTTACCTGTGTCGAGGTGTTTACGTTTCCGCATTTATTGTTGTGTCACGTGCCTCTGTTTTGTTTTACTCAATTACAAAAAATTCTAACAAATGCTCTGTTGTTTGATTGTTAAATAAAGTTTTATTGGAACTGATACCTTAGCCTAGTTACTTTGCAAGTATGCGCTTTATGGTTCCTTTGGTTCCGGAATGAAAAGATTGCTGATAACCGCATAAGCGTAATTCTACCGAGTCGTAACTTGCGTAGATGGCTGTTCTTTGCTCGTGGAGTGCGATGCGTCCTCTGATATGGGCGGTGGGGGGAGGGGGAAGCTGATACAGTGAAGTTAACAATTGAAATGTACTTCGGCGGGATTTTCTGCGGTATCCCCGGAAATTCCCACTGTTCTAGACTAGAATTGTTGGCAAAGCATGAATCACTGCTTGTTGCGAACGCGATCTATGTCAGTTGTCCGGTCGGCCTTAACTTACTGGTTAGGCCCCGGGCATACCTCCCACGTTTTCAGTCGCGAGCGACTTGGCAATAATCCAGTTGCTTATAACTCGTCGCAAACGCAATTTGAGCACACGAAAAGCAAGTTTTATCGACTCACAAAAGTTGAATACACCTAGCATTTGTGGTCTATCAGTGTTGGGTTTGAGGAGATCTGGCAAATGGCCAAATCGCGTGGCGACTGAAATTGCGAGAGGTATGCCCAGGCCATGCACGTTCCCATCCTTGAGAGATAGCCGAAAGAAGCGGTAGCACACTGCCGGCTATAGTCCTCATTTCAAAAGGCTTTGTACCGTCTGGTCATTTGTAACTTAATGTACGGGCATGCATACTACGCGCGGCAACTGGCGACACCCTTATTAGTAGCTCGTCAGTAACATATTTTCTAGCCTAAGAAACTGTAGAAATGTGTACTACTAAATATACGTATCCATTAGACCAAAAGAGAAAAAAACAGAGAAAAATCATTGAAAATGAGTGAATTCTAATTGCATTGGTCGTCAAATAGCGCACATGATGTGCAACGCGCACAATGAGTTAAGAATCAAGGGTCCACCGCTTTCGAGTCTGCGGTAGAGTAAGCTGGCGGCGGTGAGTTCACTAGAAATTCGGTAAGAATTTATGTGAATTATATAAACTTTCAACGAAAATATCAGCTGAACCACTGAGAAGTTGCGTCGTAAGCTCGTTACATCTGTCTATATATGAAAAATTGTTGTGCCTATTCAAGAAAAGTGAAATTACGGGAAACCGAGCGGCTCCCACAGCGAACGTGCCTGCAAATCTAGCAGTTTTTACTAGATTTTATCATTTTGTGCCCTCAGTTGTGGAAAACACAATCATTGTAGTTGGGATTTGACCCTTTGATTTGGAAGTGCTTGTAAAAGAACTGAAGTTTGGAGCAAAATAAATTCAGAAATGGGTGTGCAAAATAACCTATGAAATCAAATTCAAATTGCAAGACAAATCTGCGCCCTTTTTTTCTGGAAAATTCGGAATTTTGCTTGCGTTTTTGCCCATGGTTTTTCCCTACACTGTAAAGCCCACTGAAGAGGGAATTCACGCGTTTTTGCGACGCTTACAAATATAATTCATCAATGAGAATTTATCAAAGCGATGTGGGTTAAAAAATGCGACATTGCCACTGTTTAACCAGAAAAATGTGAAGAGCGCAAGCTGATAAGTTTGGCAGTAAACGAGCTTGTTATCGAACAGCGAGATAAGAGAAAGTGAGTGTGTAGCCAAGCATGCGCACCTGCAGCATCGCTGTGCTCATATTACTTCTTCTGTTTGTTTTTCTTCTTGGCATATTTCTGCTGGTCCCTTTCCCTTTAGCGCTATTCCCAGCTATCATCAAAACGCAGGTCTATCTTAGGTTTGTTTATTTAAAAGTGTTATTCATAGATTAGATTCACAAAATATGCACCAGTAGTTTGGCTACAAAGTCTTGCATGTGGGCTAGAAAAATTTTAGGAAAAATAGGTGTTAAGAAATTTCAACTCGGACTTATTTTCAGCATTGTTTGAGATTCTGACTCTTTTTACAAATATGTAGCTCAAGGTATTTTCAACAAAAAATAATCATTACTATTAATAACGGGCTAAGGATGTTTACGTGACTTTGTGTGTGTGTGTGTGTGTGTGTGTGTGTGTGTGTGTGTGTGTGTGTGTGTGTGTGTGTGTGTGTGTGTGTGTGTGTGTGTGTGTGTGTGTGTGTGTGTGTGTGTGTGTGTGTGTGTGTGTGTGTGTGTGTGTGTGTGTGTGTGTGTGTGTGTGTGTGTGTGTGTGTGTGTGTGTGTGTGTGTGTGTGTGTGTGTGTGTGTGTGTGTGTGTGTGTGTGTGTGTGTGTGTGTGTGTGTGTGTGTGTGTGTGTGTGTGTGTGTGTGTGTGTGTGTGTGTGTGTGTGTGTGTGTGTGTGTGTGTGTGTGTGTGTGTGTGTGTGTGTGTGTGTGTGTGTGTGTGTGTGTGTGTGTGTGTGTGTGTGTGTGTGTGTGTGTGTGTGTGTGTGTGTGTGTGTGTGTGTGTGTGTGTGTGTGTGTGTGTGTGTGTGTGTGTGTGTGTGTGTGTGTGTGTGTGTGTGTGTGTGTGTGTGTGTGTGTGTGTGTGTGTGTGTGTGTGTGTGTGTGTGTGTGTGTGTGTGTGTGTGTGTGTGTGTGTGTGTGTGTGTGTGTGTGTGTGTGTGTGTGTGTGTGTGTGTGTGTGTGTGTGTGTGTGTGTGTGTGTGTGTGTGTGTGTGTGTGTGTGTGTGTGTGTGTGTGTGTGTGTGTGTGTCTGTTACGAAATTCGTAGAGCGTGTTCCAGCCAACCTCCTGGGCTCAAATTTTGCACAGTGCATGCTACCCGCATGAAAGTCCAACATGCAAAAGCACGAGCAGATTCGTTGCGTGAACCCTCAGAATCTGCGTGTCAAACGGATCCACTTTGCATTTGGGCCGCAAAATTGGGTCCATAATTCCACTTTTTTCAGAGTCGTGGATGTTTATGCTAAGTAAATGTGCAAGCCATGAACTCAGGCTCGAAAAAGTAATTAAAAGTCCATTACTTTACAAAAACGGCGCCAAAAAGTATTGGTTGAGTAAATGATCAATTTGCCAAGGTTTTACCAGACCATTTGACAAAAATTTTGCACAAAGTTGTAGCTCATGGTGACTGCTGTTCTTATTGCAACTGTAAAGGCCATGAGAAAATCAAAAACCTATGAAAATTTGCATTTGTCTTCCTGCAAAAAGTCTCATCCACGCGAAATCACCGATTTCCTATAAAAAAGCTTTCGGAATGAGTAGTTGTTTATATTTTGTTCGTGATAGTCGGCATTGCTCGGTGAGTTCCAATGCCATCATTGTGCGAGAATGAGTAGGGCCTAGATAGTGGAGCCAGTGCGAGCCTCTGCGAAGCAGAGGTGACGCACTGGTATATCAATAAATGCTAATTTGTCAATGTCAGAAAAAAATTTCCTTTTGGAATCTCCTAGGTTTTCTAGATTCTAATCTCGTACAATTATATAGATGCTTTGTGAGGTATGCTGATAGCAAAGTTCATGAGGTTTTGGGTACTCAATGAATTACGTATAAAAGTAACTATTAGGTTGTCCTAAAAGTTCTTGCGCCGGATTTTCAAAAAAATCATAACTTCCTTTCCTCTCAATGATTTTTCTCAAAGTTATTTTTGTATGAAAGAGGAAACCTTTATCTTTATAGCGGTGCCTTTGCCATTAATTAGCGTTGCTAATTTCGAGAGTTAAAAGCAATTGAAGGAAATTAGTCAAGATCGACATTTTTCAAGCTGAATCACGAAAAATCCCGGAAGTATTTCTATTTGATAGAGAAAATTTTGCACATTACAGAGGTACCTTTTTCATGAATTAAAACGAAGTAAATCGAGCGTTAGAAGCAAATAAATAGAATTTCTTTACTTTTGCAGTTTTTGAGCATGCTCAAGAATTGCAAAAGTAATTCTATTTAGTTGCTTCTAACTCTCGATCTACTTTGTTTTAACACATGAAAAAGGTACCACTGTAATGTGTAAAATTTTCTCTATCAAATAAAAATACTTCCAGAATTTTTCGTGATCCAGCTTGAAAAATGTCGATCTTGACTAATTTCCAAATTGCTGTTAACTCTCGAACTTAGCAACGCTAATTCATGGCAAAGGCACCTTTATAAAGAAAAGGATTTCTCCTTTTGTACTAAAATAATTTTGAGAAAAATCGTTGAGAAGAAACGAAGTTATGATTTTTTGAAAATCCGGCGCAAGAACGTTTAGGACAACCTAATATTTATAATAATGAGAAATTATTTTTGACTTTCTATGCTTAAGAAGAAACCCTTCACATCTTTGCGAGAATGCGCGTCTTTCAAACAATAAAATTTGTTTGATGTACCTATACGTAATACAAATTTTTTTGAAACCTTGCAACTTGTGGATTATTCAAATCATACCGTATACGGCTATTTCAAAATTTTTCTGCACCTCGAGCATATAAAATACATAAATGGATAATTATTCAACAATGTGTCCAATCTATTGGACTCACTTTTTAGACTGATTTTCTCCAAATTTTTTGAAAAGATTAGATCTTGTTTTCCTGCGTTACTTCGTTATCAATAAACCAGTGCTTCACCTCTGCTTCGCAGAGGTTCGCACTGGCATCGTGAACCGTGGTAAACTCACTTTTTGAGAGCTTGTCTCTCAAATCATTGTTCGGTTTATTGCAAAGTGAGCCGTAGTTAAAAATGAACCATACTCGCGATCTTAACCTTACATGATGTTTAGTATCGTAAATCATTCCTCACTGTAATTTCGTAACGGACAAACTCCACACAACTTCAGATTAAGCCGCTTATTATATAAAAATGATAGTTTCATCATTGCAGGAGTAAGTTCGCAATTCCAATCAAGCTACTCTATATAAGCAACATAGAGCTTACTAGAAAAATTGGTACTTTCCCGTTATTCGGATCCATTTTTTCAAATAAGGGTATTGCTATTTTTCTTGTAACATATTTGTTCCCAAATTCAAGGGAAGGAATGTCAAAAATATTGAATAGTGTCCACGTGTTAAAAATATTTGACATGTCATCTACATGTTTATCAGGTTTTACCAAGGTTTTATTTTACACTACTTAGCGACGTGAATTTAATTCGTATTTAAGTCAACAATGACCCCATTTTCAAATAAAAGATTTCAGAACGCTGTTATAATGATAACGACATCCTGTTATCAGAACAGGTTAGATTTGCCCAGGGAGAAGTGTGCTAGGATTCCTTATACAAGCGGCGAAACAAGCAGCAGCGAGATACCGCAGTCAATCACTTATAGTTTTTCCTGACTAAATTCGCATGGCGGAAAGTCTAAAGAGGAAGACAAGTTTGAATCATTGCTGAAAGCAATCAAGATTTTATGCGATAAGTTCTAAACGGTTTTGCTTTGGCTTTTAGTTGGTCAAAAACGCTTTTTACCTTACCGGAAATGATTTTAAAAAAAGTCAAAATGGACTAAAACGTGTCAAACTTTTCCTGACACGTGGCGGGGAGGCAGTCTTCGTAGAATTTACAAAAAATTTTTAGACTAACGAACGTATGTTATGAGACCTGTTTGAAAAAATGGGTCCGGATAACGGTTTGAAAAAATGGGTCCGGATAACGAAAAAAAACCAAAAAATTTCCAAAAAGGTTTTTGCAGGTTGTGAGGGGCTACTGAATATAGAAAATTCTGCAGAAAAATTGATTTTAGTGCCTAATAATTTCTTTAGATAGTACAAGAAAGAATGCCATCATTAGTGCATCTTTGTAGATGATATCAGAAATCCCGGAAACCTCAATCATTTCATTTTGAAAAAAGTGTTTTTGCAGGCAGCTGAAAGATGGAGAGTACCCCAAAGCCACGTACTATTGGTCAAACCTGCCAGCCACGCAGTACTACAACTTCTTTTACTTCAATATAACAAATCCTGACGAAGTGCTTTACTATGGAGAAAAGGCACGGTTGGTCGAATTAGGACCATATTCGTGGGCGTGAGTTACTTGTATAAGCATTTTCTATCTTATATATAAAGCTGAATGTCTGTATGTCTGTATGTATGTCTGTATGTATGCACGTATGATCCGGACCAAACTTGGCACACATACATTTCGGGCCCCGGCGGATGTCGTAGGCTACTTTTCGTCATCGATCGATATCAATTTTATCGATTTTTATCGATTTTTTTGCTGAGTTCACCTACGGGGCTGGGAGTTGGCACAGGGGGGTAATCGAGCATGCTGATCATCCCCAAGGGGGTGATCAGCATGCTCGATTACACCCCTGTGCCAAATTCCAGCCCCCTAGCTCAAATTTTCAAAAAATCGATAAAATCGATAAAAGTAATGGACGATCCTGAAAACTAATATTGTATTCGCAATCTGCATGCTCGATTACCCCCCTGTGCAAAATCCCAGCCTCGCATGTCAAAATTTACAAAAAATCGATAAAATCAATAAAAGTAATCGATAATTCTGAAAACTAATATTGTATTCGGAATCCCCATGCTCACTTCCCCCCCCCCCCCCCACTGTGCCAACTCCTAGCCCTGTAGGTGAACTCTGCAAAAAAATCGATAAAACTCGGTAAAATCGACATCGATCGATAACGAAAAGTGGACTGTGACACCCGCCGGGGCCCGAAGTGTATTGCCAAGTTTGGTCCGGATACGGCGGAGCCGGGTAAGCCAGCCAGTCTATTTATATTATAAGTAACCCATCATCCGTATTAAATTTGACTACGACTTGTTCCTTGTGGATTTGCAGGAAAATTGTTTTTGCAATCAAGAATATTGCAGATGCTTTTAGCATTCATAGCTTATTTGAAACAGGGAATTTTTGAAAAACTAAGAAACTTGCTCGCTAAAATCAAACTGGGACTTTTTCGAAAGTATCTGAAGTCGTACCTATTCAAGCTTCTACAAGTTCCTTGGATAAGCTTTCGAGGTTGTATTTAAAATTTTTAGCACCTTTTAGAAATTTCAAAAAAGGAGTTTGATATAAATTTTTCGCATTCTACGATTATTCACGATCATAGGATAAAAAGAAATTACCTGTACTGTCATGTCACTCCCTCCTCCCCCGAAAAAAATCCACGAGTCACTCTTTTTCAGTTTTCAATTATTTTCATTTTCTCTTCATTTTCGACTCTCATGACTTCTTGTACACTATCCTGCAACACCACAACGTTTTTTTCGAAAATACAGATGTCTCAGTATTTTTATGATTTGGGCACTTTCACATCCTTCATATAATACGGAAAAAAATTATTAGCTTGATCAGTGAAGAAATGGCGTATTGACTAGTTCAATCATTATATCCTTTCAGCGAAACCGAATTCAAACAAGAAGTGGAATTTCGCGATGACGGTAACACGATTTTCTACAAAAACAACAAAACGTGGGTGGGTTATTTATTGAGAATGCGCTTGCATAATACTTCGATGTGGAAATGATAGTCTGCCAAGCACTTTTACGATGCGTAAGAGGTTGTAAGGGAGTGCGGATCTGTACTGCCACTTACTGTAGGATGCGGTAAGGTAGCGCTGCGAGACCCACGTAAGCGAAACAATGTAGGTAAAGTTGGTTGGTTGTCCACTATGGGTCACTGAATATTCAGAAACTAACTGTTCTTGTGAGCGGGACTCTCGATGATGGCAAAGACCCGAAGGACGAATCGCTAATTTACCCGTCTCGCTTATGTGGGTCTCGCAGCGGACCCCTGCAATACCGTAGTCTACAGAAGAATGCCATTTTCATCGCAAGAATATATCTATAATAATCACAGGTCTTTTCTCCTTCAACTTCTTGTAGCAACTGCCACCTCGAAGACCTTCTTATACTCGGAAATCCAGCATTTATGGTAAGTGCAGCTCTAAATTGTTCAAATGGTTTTGGTAATTTGGGTTTTATAAACTGGCTCAATTCTAAAACCGCTGTATTTCGCTAAATTGTGGTCTTGTTCTTAGAGAAAAGTTGCTGCGAAAAGCATATTCAAGTTCACCTGAGTTCTACAAACTTGAATTTGTGATATCCTCTAAAATACGGCGTATGCCACACGCTTTTACATGCATTGGTATTTTTTAGAAGTTTGAATCTAGGTTAGCCTTGTAAAAATTCTCTGGAGTGTGGCTGCTACCATACGCCTGTTGTTTGAAATTTTGGGATCGTGGGCCCATAAAAATTCTGACAAGCATCCCAAAACGCTTTCGTATTTGAAAAAGAACTTGTTTTTTCTCCCTCTTCCTTCGCAAAAAAATTCTTCGGACCTCCACTCAGCTACTGTAGCCCTTTTTTCAAATACCCTAAAATCCCGCATATAAGTCCGGGATTTTAGGGTAATAAGGTTAAATCTATGCTTTGGCCCTGCACAAGAGGAATGAAATGTCAATACTGTGCTCTTTGTTGTATTTTTTACATAAAGTGAATATTATCGTTCTTTCTTGAAAAAATTTATATTTTCAGTCCGTGTTGTATATGAAACAACAGCAAAAATTCGGAAAACTGATAACAAAAGTGATGAACCTTTTACTCCTACTTTTAGGAGAGTCTCCTTTGAGGTGCGATAGTTTGCATAATTATAGTAAAATCTAGGTTCGAAGACCTAAATTTATTTTAGGGTGGTAACTCAAGGTGGCGTGTCATTCGAATCCTATCCTGATCCATTGATAACTCTGATCAACAGCAATCTCACAAAGGTAAAAACACATAGCAGTGAGTCATAAAAAGTAAATTTGCAACTAATTTCAGACGCTTATGAATTTTTTGGGAAATCCCATACCTCTCCCCAACGTACCAGCTATGGGCTACTTTCCAAATGTAAGTTGAAACATTTTTGATATAATTTGTAGCTTTGAACATGGTAACTTTCTCTGCTTTCATATTCTGTAGTAGATAGGTTGCAATTAGCACTAAATACTATGAATTCTGTGAAAAAGTAAAATAGCTTTGGAAAAATTTCTTCTGAAATTTGGCTATTTCTTTCAAAAGCTTAAGGGTTATAAGAGTGCGTAAAATTGGCTCTTATTTTATGGGTCAAGCATTTTTTGCTATCTTAATAGTTTAGCGATCGTAATTCTTTACCTTTCGTAAAAATTAAGTATAGCAAATCTTTGAAATTCGGATTTTGTTTATTGATGAGTTTTTTTTCAGTATAACCACACCTGCGATGAAAACTACATCATAAAGACAGGAAAAGACAACACTGACAAGTTAGTTTACATAATTTCTGAAACAAACACATTGCTTCATTAAAATATCAATTCACTTACAGTTTGGCACTAATCCAGAAATGGGCGAATATGTCGAATCTGCCATGGTGGGGAGACGCCTACTCAAGTGACATCACTGAAAGCGGAGGTAAGCTTGGCTTGAGATACAGCAACGGAGGGTTTCCTATATATTTCCGATTCAAAAAGAATCATTGATCGCCCTTGGATTACGGTAGAAATTTCAAAGCATTTGTACGCCATTATTGGAAGCTTTTACGTTCGAAAAAATTTGGAATTTTGAAAATTCTCAGTGTTAGAGAAAGTATCGAATATGAAAGTTGCTCCCTGTCAATTCTAGAAACTGCTCTGTTCGCATACCTCGATGCTCCTATTTGAGCTATGCATGTCGCTGCTGAAATCAGCGTATGTAAAACGCCTGAGAAAGGTTCATAGAGTGTTCATAATCTTCTGAATGGCAGCTTGTCTACAATGTTATTATTATGAGAAGAATTTTTATTGCAGTTCAACAATCGTTTTACATTGAACTTAAGTCGTTCATCCAAAAATCCAAAAAATTTTTTTAAAAAATGCTCAGAGCCGCTTTCCAATCTGTTTAGTATTTATTATATTTGATTGACGCAGTATTTTATACTATATATTAAGGATCTTATTTTGAACAATATCAAAACTCGAAGATGGATTAAAAGTTGGAAAAACGCACTTTGAGTTAAGGGTTTGTATTCGACAGGTTCTTTTGCTGCCATATGATAGTGATGATTCTTGTTTTGAGAGGCACTAAAAAGAGTAAGGGTTTCTCCTTCTAAATTATATTATATCAAACAGATTTTATTGAATCCGAAAGAGATTACGGTTTTATGAAACATTTTGGTACTGGATTTATGTTCCAGCCTAATAAAGAAGCTAGGGTGATTTGTGTTGAAGTTAGCATTTCAAAACAGCACCTCGTGACCCATAAGATAATCAAAAGGGACTTGTCATTCGCCAACTATCATTGATCTAAAATTTTATTCCAGATGGAACCTTCCAAAAACCTGGATTAAAGAAGACCGACAGGCTGAAACAGTTTCAATCCTTCACATGCAGGTATAATCAAGAAGATACTTTGTTGCCCTTGTCACTTTTACGAGACTAAGTTAAGATTTTATCCCCGCACTAGCATAGGAAATGAAGTGCTCGTTGGTCTCAGCACGATTGTGGGTATATTTTCTCGTTATAGAGCCTTCTACCTACATTACGATTCGGATACGACTGTAAATGGCATAGATGCAATGAAATTCAAAATGGACGAGGACACTTACGATACGACTCTAGAGCTGAACAAAGGTTACCGATACGAAAACACTGAGAAAGTGGT